ATTTTCACCAAAACAAAAAAAAAATAAAAACTCATTAACTTTGTCTAAAAATAAAAATTTAGCTTTAGTTTTATTAAATATATTTACTTTAATATAAATACTCTAGTATTTAATAGGGGCAAAATTATAAAGATAATATAATTATAATATAAATAACTTTCATTACTCTATAAATAAGACCATGGGAGTTTTAAGTTTCTGAGTAGTGTATATATATACATATTCTCTTAAATTTTTATTATAAAATACTTTTAACTTATTTCACGTATCTTAAGATAATTTAATTTTTTAATATCATAAAAATAAAATATACTTTTATTTTTATTATTAATTTTAAATAATGATACAACTATATTAAATATATTTATGTTAATTAAAAAAGGATAGAACCTAAAAACAATTTATTATTATAAGATGTTTATATTTTGAATGAAAAATTATTTTAAAATGCGCTTTATAAATAAAATTAGCATGAGCATGTAAAAGTGGTTGAGCCACCCATGTGCGCATTTGCTGTCACGGATATCGTCAAACGCCGAATCAATCAATTATTTATTATTATTATTTTTGTTTTTTTTGGACGAAGAATCAATCAATTATTAGCAATTTGTTGTTCCGCAATTGAAGGATTTTTTTTTTTTTAACAGCCCCCAATAATGAAGTAAGATCAAAGAATGAGAGTGCTAGGACTTGTTGACCCAAAATAGATAAAATTAAAAATCAAGACTACACACGCAGGGACGTACCACGTTGAGCAAAGAGGAGCCAAAAAAAAAAAAAGTAAAATTTGCTTTCTAGTTTTTTTTTTATTTGAAAACATCTGCAATCCACATAATACAAACATCATGCAGGAAAATAAAAATTAGTACGACTAAAGATTGGGATATAAACTTCCACCAAGGTGTCCAATTTTCTGGCATAATTTCCAACCAGTTATATCTAAAGAGGTTCAAAAGGGAGTGGGTGTCTTTTCTCAAAATTCTTCTAGCAGGATCTTTATCAGTTTCTCTATGAACATTTCCACAATCCTGCTTCTTGATAAGTACCACAATGACATCGGAAAATCCAGGAGGACCAAAAAAATCCGACCTTGAGTACCGTACGAATCTCCATCAGGATAAATTGAATGTTGCCTTCGTTCTGTCCAGCTACATTCTTTCTTTCAGCAATAAAAGTAAAATCATGGAAAATAAGTATTTTACTTCCCTTGGATTTACCTCTTCCTCACTGGATAATCTGATTGATGTCAGTAAAAAGAAACCAGACTTTTCGAGCCATTGCTATTTGAGGAGTGATCTTTTTAGAAGCAGACTAACAGGTCTTCACAGCTTCCCATTTCTTATCATGCTGTTTTTGCTTCTCAGCATCAGCAATTGAGCTTGAATAATAGCCCCAGCCCTGTTTATCATCTCTTTAATATGTTGAGGGTGAATTTGTTCTGCATTGAATTTTTTTTCTTACTGCTGCAATCCCAGAGAGCATGAACTATGAGCAGAATTTCCTTTAATTGATCTAGCCACTTCTTATCAGTTGTAACTTTGTTAACCAGTCAACAATGAATGATTTGATATTTGAGATTCCTTCAGATCTAATTGTGAGTTTTGATGAAAACCAAACAGCCCCAGCCAGATCACAATGAAGAAAGGTATGATTCAGATCTCCTCAGCATCACCGCATGTTAGAATTTTTGAATTAATTTTCACCCGTGATGAGTCATAACTCCAGTCATAATAAGTTGACCAGAATCTGATATTAATATATAATTAATAGCCAGAAAAAAAATGATCTTTTATCTTAATTGCAATTATTCCAATCAGCATGTTTTTTTTTATAATGAAATAAATTAATACTGATTAGATCTTCCTTTCACTCAGAGGCCTCCCTTCACTATAAATAGTAATCAGAGGTTGGAGGTAGAAATCATTTCAGAGTGAACAGTTCTCTTGTTCACTTTTTCTCTCCCTCTCTTTCTCTTCGATGCATTTGCTGTGCACTATAGTATAGACTCTAATAGTCTAAACTTGTGTGAGTAGTCAGATATATTTTACAGTGTCTGAATTTGTCAAGCCTCTAACCGACTTATTTATTCAGTTTATTATTTATTTAATATTCCTTCACTGCAAATGACACATCAAACTTTATTTTGCAAATGATGTTTATTCAAAATGTTCGAAATAGGAGTTGCTTCATTGGTAATTTTTTAAGAGAGTAAAAGAACCCTGAATGGTAGTTCAATCTTTCAAAACTCTTTCAAGTTGGCTCCTTGGGCATAAGGCAAGATTTGATTGTGTTCAGCCATGAGAGAGGAGAATGCTTTTTTAACTGAGTAAATTCCATCAGTTGCTTTGTTCCAGACAGGAAAATCATTCTGGTCATACAAGGAGAAAGGTGTTCTTAATATATCATCCGTATCATTGCGGCAACAGAGAGAGGAAATAAGTTGTTGATTCCAAACAGCATTATACATATTAATTATCAATTACCCCATATTCTCTTTAAAATGATCAAGTATACATATTTAAAAATATTCTTAACTCTTATATTTGTTATTAAAATAAATTTATAATACAAATAAAACTAATATATCTTTAAACTTTTCATATAATTTATTTATATATTACTTTAGTTAATATTTAAAATTATATTTTCTTCAAATATATCAATATTTGTATTTACCTTAAACATTGCTCCCTGATAAATTTTTATGGGTGCATTACTGGACACACGCACGCCTGTATTGATTAATAAATGAATGCCATACTTATATCCCTTAAGTTTTAGCATGATCTAGACATGTATGCCATGTGTAAGATCAAGAATCATCAATACTTTATTAATTTTTTCTTTGTTAGTAGCAAACGTTACGCTATGAAATTTGAGTAAAGTATTGATTTTAAATAATTAATTTTTATTCATTTCGTAATCTTCCAAACTAGTACTTCGAATTTTGCTTTGCAACATGAAATTTGAAGGAGTCATGATTAAGAACGTTACGAAATGAATAAAAAATTAATTATTAATTTAAAATTCTGCCTGTTTGGATGGCACAAAAAATCGATTTTTTGATCCAAAATCTTGTTTTGAACAAAAATTGTCCAAACACCACAAAATTTTGGTAATCGATTATTGGGCCCAAATTAGATTTGAAAATAAGCTGGATGAAGCAGCTTCAAGATTCAGTTTTATCCTTACAGCCTTAATTATTTGTCAGGGCGTTTGGCCTGCCAATATTACCCTCTTCCTTGTTTGACTTGCCAATATTACCCTCTTTCGTGCTGTCACTTGAAAGAAGCTTGGAGCTTGATGTTTTCTCCTGGCCGGAGTAAAAAATTGAAGCTATTTTTCTAAAAAAAAAAAGATCTCCCTATTTTTTGTGTGGGCTAAATGTGATCTAAATCAAATTTTTCTCTTTTATTAAATTTATTTAAATTAAAATATATTAAGATATTTATTTATGTAAATTAGAATGTTAATATTAATACACTTTAAAATTTTATAATTAATCAGATATATAATTTAAATAATATATTACTTTTTAAATAAAAATTTAACAAATTTAATAATATTAGACACAAATTTATCAATAATTTAATTTTAAAAAATAATGTTCATTATGATAATTTATATCGCTAAAAGTTATTCTGACTAAATTATTCAAACATTTTTAATTATATTAAAATTAATTTAAAAAAATAGTATCCAAACATATTAGATTATAACATAATCAATTATAATTAAAAATTATTTATATTAATTAATTATTTTTATAATTAATTATACTTAATTAAAATTTAAATGACCTCATTATTACCTTTTTGAGGAAATTGATGAAATTCAAACGCACTCCACGCCACATGCTTACCCCTTCTCTTATAAAGAAAATTAACAGAGGACAGAATAACACACATCTCCAATACACTCATACACATTTACCCCTTACCTACGCGGAGAATAGATATATAACCCACAGCCTCCCTCTACCAAGGAGGTAAGGAGGTGTGGGCTATCATTGAAGGAGTGGAAGAACTATTTTTCTATTGCAAATTATTTGAAAGTAAGTTACTAAGTTTGGTATTTTAATTATAAATTATTAGAGCTATCTCCTAGAATAATTTTTTTAAAAAAATTTAATAATTCTTTCACTCCTTCAATTACAATAATTTTCAACTCTTTCTCAAAATCAATAGTTATTTATTTTACAATACATGCTACACACTTAGAAATTGCATATTTTCAAATTGCAATCTAAAATAAATAGCTTCTCTTTTTTAGTATTGGTCCTTAATTTAGGGCATTGGGATTAGGCCAAGTGCTTCTATTTCTTTCATAAAACAAATAAATTATTGAAGAGCTCCTCCATTTCATGGATTCAAAAGATCGAAGCCTTGATAGCATTAGGTAGTGCACAAAGGATGGCGAAACAAGTGGTTGCATCCACCTACTGTGATGACAGAGGATGAGACGTCAGAAATAAGGGATAAGGGCACACTACTATTTTCAGAAGAGATGTATTTAGGTTCGAGATTCGAGAGCATGAGTTTCTAAGAGAACATCATAATAGTGGTGCACGATTAAAATTTTTTTATATGGGCAATTGAGTATCTTTACTTGTTAGTTATGATTACTGAAGAACCATGAGACTTATGTGGGGTTTTTGAATCTTGTGAAATTTACCTTGAATAAATTGCTTTCTCGAGACTTAATTGTCATTTTTTCAAAAAATTTTATATGATGACATGACACAACATGTCGTCTAACACGGTGTATCTATGGCCTTTTATTCAAAAAGAAGACGAAAAAAACATCTTATCATAAATTATTGAAAAAATCATTCTTCACTCCCCAGGCATGTATAAATAATTAATATAAATATGGAAAATTTCAATAAAATTAAAAATTACTCTCAAATAATTTTTTTTTTGGTTCGAAGTTACCAATTTACTATATTGTTGATTAATTACTGCTCGATAGTACGTTGCTAATTAATCGAGTTGTTTAATTAACTAAATAGTAATAACTAACAACCTAGTGTACTCCCACAGAAAAATTGCAACTTTGTGCTAAATTTATCTGTCCTGCACTTCATATTCTTTCACAGTTTACATTTTTCTTCCATATATATATATATATATATATATTATCATGCATCTTGCATCACGACATTTCATTCATCATAAACCTTAGAAGAAAGACGATGAGTTGGCACGGCCGACAAGTGCTTGGATCTCGGTATAGAGAGGCCAAATGATTCGGTCATGTCCAAATCAGCAGGTTTCATCCCAAAAGGAAGCTCCCAATTGAAGCAGTGCACAAGTTGAGCCATAACGATTTTAACCGTAGTTAAACCCATCTGCATCCCGGGACATTTTCTACGACCCGACCCGAATGAAGGAAGTTGAGAATCATGTTCTTGAAAAACGTTGTTGGAGTTGCTATTCAAGAACCTTTCTGGATAAAACACTTCAGCATCATCTGACCATATGCGAGGGTTTCGTCCTAGTGCCCATAAATTTACTAAGATTTGTGAGTTTTTCTCTATGTAGTATCCATCAACGATAGCATCTTCTGTGGATGCTCGTGGAATGAATGGAGCAACTGGGTGGAGCCTCAAACTCTCCTTGACCACCAAGTTCAAGTAATTCAGCTTTGAAAGATCTGATTCTTCCACCATCCTGTTCATTCCCACCACAGTTTCTAGCTCATCTTGTAGATTCTTCATCACCCTTGGATTTCTTAGAAGTTCTGATAGAGTCCACTCGATGCTGACGGCAGAAGTTTCGTATGCCCCAGCAATCATAGATAATGCTACAGCCTTAATGTGATCTCGAGTAATTTCATGGTTTCGTTCATCATCTGTGACCAGTAACGACAGTAAAATGTCTATAAAGTCTTCACCTTGCCCATCCTTTTGTACATTAAGAGCTTGCTCGTGCTCCTTTACTATCTTCTCCAATACTTGGTCAAGAGCTCTACTTGTTTCCTTTAATTGACGTGTTAATCCCTGAAAAACAGAGAGATTTAAACAGGTTATTGACGGTATCAATGACAATCTAGATCTTTGAGTGTAAGATTTAATTAACGCTTTTAACCAGAAATAAATGAAACAATGAGTTAAAGGAGAATGTTATGAGAAAGTATTTCTATAATTTCTCTGTATAATTAGATTAAGGCATAGAGCATAGCAAAAACTAGAACTGTCATTTAGTGTTCTTTCTGTATTTTATACTAACATATCTGACAATCATTCAATTAAATCGAAGGTCTCCATAATATCATTCGAGACTGAGTGAAAGCATTTGGGACATGCCACAAGTCTAAATCCAGTACTTCGTTCTCTACTTTAAAACTATTTTGTTGAAAATGATTCTCTGTTTAATTTCATGCAAAAGGACTAAATTGAAACGTTAAATTCATCAAACTAATTAAGACAAATGAATCATACCTGAAGATCAAAGGTTTCCAGCCAAGGCACAAAATCTGCAAGATTGAATGCTCCGGTCAAGCTTAAGCAACTTGAGAGAAGGCCCTTGATATCAAATTGATCATCTTTACTACGTCCCAGCACCATCTTATAAACCACATCTTCCAAAAGTTGGTGCACCTTCTCACTCAAGTTCACGACCTCACCTATTGTTGCAGCTGGCTCAAGTGATGACTTTACCATGATTCTCAATTCCTCCCTCCTCATAGGACCAAACAAGTCCACTTTTGAAGCACTGAGAAGGTGTTGGGCACACATCTTCCTCATGTCGCGCCAGTATGAACCATACTCAGAAAATACAATACTCTTGGATCCGTAAAATAAGTAATCCACGGCTTGAGTTTTGGCTCGAGCTGCAAAAATAGGGTCATGGGTCTTAAGGAATAGTTCAGCAGCTTCAGGAGAGGAGACCACAGTGACTGGGACCTGTCCTAGCCTCAAGGACATGATGGATCCATATTTGCTGGCCAGAGTTTGAAGGTTGCGATGTGGGAGAGTGCCTAGCAAGTGAAAATTCCCAATAATGGGGAGGGCCAAAGGACCTATATACATAGTGAAGATGCATTGAGAATGACAGAAAATTTATCAACAAGAAATATATCAGTGCAGATACCAGAAAGCAAAAAGAAAAAAGGAAGAACAGAGGAAAATTGTGTAACAAGTACATGCATACCTGGAGGACGTTTGGTCTGGTTATTTGGACGCAAGAAGATAAACAGAATCATGTAAATGAAAGTCAGGAGGAGGATTAATGCAGGAATGGCTACAATTGAAGGAATCATGTTTGACAGAGAAAATGGAGAAATAGAGGACGTTGATGATGAGTGATGATTGATCAATAAGTATGAGGTCACAACATATAGGATGATCAGTTAGTGATCACTGGCTAGGAAATAATTTTATGTTCGTTGGGAAAATAAATATCTATGCATTATTGCGGGGACTATATTGTATTGTGGCCAGATTTAGAAATGATGTACACATGGGATGGGAAAGCAACAAAATATCCAACTGCAGCTGATTATTGAGTGTTTTTCTTTTTAGTTGGTTTTGACTATCCAGTATTCACGTGTGTAATATTTTTTTTGAATATTAATAAAATGATCTTTTTTCTGGCAAAAAAAAAAAAGATTACAAAAGAGCAACATAGAGCTTGTTCTTAAACCATAAATCAACAAGCGTATGGAATTCTAAGTTCCTTTTTGACACATTATTTTCTAAAAAAATATTTGAAAACACTGCAATATTCCTTTACAATTAGCAAAAGCTAACTCTAACTATTAATTAACCTAAATATTACAAAAAATGAAATTAAAAATTACAGAAAAAGATAAAAAAATTACAAATAAGTATTATATAAAAAATTAATATCAATTAAGTTATTTAAATTATAAATAAATATAAAAAAATTAATGTCACTTCTTTTACATGTAAAAGGCTAAGATTTAATTTTGACGGAGCATTTTAACCAATTACCAAGTGCTATCAGATTATCATTATTTATTTTAAATGTTTTCAAACTTATAGTTTAAGGATAAAATGATCACTTATCCCAAAAATTAATGTTAAATCATGATTTTATCATCATTTAGGTTTTTAAGTTGAGTATTCATTCTCTTATATTTTAACGCTAAAAATCTTTTTGAAAAGAATGTTAATTTAATAACAACTTTTTAAGAGGTTTTTAATTATTATCCTCCCATCCTTTTCAGTAACCAGATCAAACTTTTAAATCTAGAGAGTAAAATTACAATGCCACAATTGAGATAAGATATAAGTGTCGTGAGTGCCAAGATATTTAGTCCATAACTTTAGCATGATTTAGACATTTTACCTAACCCAAAAGTAAAATGAAGGTACAATATGTAACAACTTTGATATTATGATATTCAATGAGCCCTCGTAGGATTGTAGAAGCTTTTTGGTATTAGATATAGTTAGATCTTAATCTTTTTATACAGTTTTCCATAGCCTTCTAATAAAAAATGGTGAAACAAAGGTGGTGAAAATTAAAATGATTGTTGACACAATAATTCAAGAATCAATGGTTCAATATTAATTGAATCTGCAACAACCTAATTATAATTAAAATAATGCTCCTTTCTATCTCATTTATAAGACACATTTTAAAAAGCCAGTGCAGCTTTGTAAGTAATATTTAAAAATTATTTTTAAAATTATTTTTCATAAAAGAGAAAAAATAACATGGCATCACTTTTTAGATTTGTTATATATGAAGCACCGATACTTCAAATTGCCTCATATATTTATGTTAGTATCATGTCCAATGTCGATATTCATCGATATTTCTTTGATACATATCTATAGAGTATTGAAATATTATTTTTTAATATTAAAAATAATTTTTGATACGTATCAAATACTTTTAAATTGCGAGTTGATACTTTGAAGTCAATATTTTGAGGCTATTTTTAAAAAATTAAATTTTATTAAACATTGCTATATTAATTTTTTTTGTTTCTAACATATTTTTGTGATTTGTTTTTACAGTCAAAGATTAGATTTTTCCTAAAAAATAACTTTGTGATATAAAAGGATAAAAAATTATATTTTTAATTATAAAAAAGTAGGAATGTAATTTTTTGGCATATAAACTCTAAGTATGGAACTATTAGTAGAAACTAGGTTGTTGGCAATTAAATAAAGATGGAATAAAAGTATAATAATAATTTTTTTTTGCTTGGTATTATTGTAAAGAATTATATTTGTATGCTAGATTGGATATTTTTAAATTAAAATTATATTTTTAATGTTTTTGTGATTTTTTATAAACATATTTGCACATATTAGAAATATATCATATCATATGTTTTTTAAAATAAAAAAATCGACATATTGGATACGCTACTTGATTGTCATCTATAAAGCTGCATGAGCATGATGTCACGACCATAAGTTTTTTGAATAGAGCTCACCTTCAAAAGGTGCCTTATATAGGAAAGCTGCCTGACTAACTTATAAACTACACTTTACTAATGTAACTTTTTGATAAAGGACTCATAATATAACCCATCTTTTAAGAGGAGGTATTCGCAATAGCACACACTCCATTGTGCGTCACTCGACCTATGCTCGATTAGACCTATGCTCGATTAGTCACTCTATAGGAGGCTTCTTTTGCCAAAGGCAACTTTCAACGAGAGTATTAACGTTGTGACTATAAGCTCCCTAAATAAAACTCGCTCCTAAAAAGCATATTATAAAGGGAGGATATCTGATTGACTTATAAATCATATTATATTAATATAATTTTTTGATATAAGACTCATGACATATGACATATAGACAGAACATGATTTAGACGTTCCACCTAATCAGTTACATTTTTTTTGTAATGATTTGCGAACTAGCTTTACCGTTGTAACCTCTTGTCCTGTTTGGCCAAAAAAACCAAAAACCTCTTGTTTTGAATGTATCGAGGCAGCTTCAACTGCTGTAAGTAGCATTTAACTTTGTTTTGTTGTGCTTCAGCTTGGCACGTCAAGTAGCTTTGAAACTGAAATTATTAAAAGTGCAAGATGAGAGAAATTTCCTAAATATAAAAATAACAACAAGGCCTCAAAATGTTACAAATTTTTTTTTACAAATCTCTAAATATTTTTTAATATTAATAATTTTTTGTGATATGGCTAAATTATTCCGTTTCAAAATAAAAAGTAACAGCTTTAGTCTAAAAAAATAAATCTAGACAATTACTTTAGTTTAAATAATGATTATTTTTCTTCTAATAATAACTAAAATAAAACAAGCAATCACAACTTTTTTTGATCAAAAATTACACTTGGATTAAAGTAGTTGTTGCTTGAACTAATTAATGAATTAACAGATATTTATAACATTTGGACTTTAATAAATAAAAAATTTACGTATAAAAATTGTAATTGCTTGTTTCATTTTAGTCATTATCATAAAAAAAATAATTGCTTAACTAAAGTAATCACGGATATTTACAATATTTAGACTTTATTAAATAAAAAATATATATAGAAAAAGTTATAATTTTTTGTTTCATTTTAATTATTACTAGAAAAAGTAGTTATTTCTTAAGTTAAAGTAGTCACTAATATTTAATTTTTTTAAATGAGGGTATTTTAACAAAAATCATTAATGTCAAAAAGTCCTTAAAAATTTGAAAAGAATTATGATATTTCACGAGATCTTATTGTCATTTGCATATTTTAAGAGGATTTTTTTTTTATCATTTCCCTATTTAAAAGGTCTAATATATTATAAGTTATCTATTTTCATATCATTTTTCTAGTCTTTTAAGTTGAAAAATCATATATTAAAATTTTGTAATTAAACGATTTTAACATTAATTTAACTTTTAATAAATAACATAGTTAATTCATTTAATCTATTTTGTAATATGGCTAATCTTAAATAAGATTTAAGCAATATAATTTTAATTTTTAAAAATTTCTTCCAGCAATGACAATTGTTATTGATATTGTAAAATAAAAGGATAATGAAACATTTAATCCATCAAGTTTATCTTAATTATTGATTTAGTTTTTTAAATTTAATTTTTATCAATTTAATCCCTTATATTTTCTTAGATTATTCTATTAGCCCTTTAAATTTTAAAACACATATTGACTCTCAATATAATTTAATATGTAAAAATATATTGATGATTTAACATGTATATGTGACTACATAATAACAAATTAACTCTCAAATAAGTTTAATTTTTATCAATATCTTTACAATGTATTTTGTTATCTTGTTTTTCAAAACTTTAGAACATATCTTTCAATACCTAATTAATTATGTTCATTATTATTATTATGCATGATTTCCATTAATATTTTGTTATCTAAGTTAATAAATTTTAACAATGTAACATTTTTTTAAACAATAAGGATTAAATCAGTAATCAAAATAAACTTAGAGGATTAAATTTATAAAAATTAAATTTAAAGGACTAAATTGATAATTAAGCTAAATGTGAGGGATTAAAAGTTATATCATTCCTGAAATAAAAAATAAAAGAGAAACAAGCATAAATTTCAAATTTTGAAATTTTAATGCCATTCTCTTGAATTTCTTCTTTTGCCCTTATAATTTTATTTTATATTCTACACATTCAATCCATGGATATATTGACACACATGTTTTTTCTAATTTTATTTATAAGTTACTTCTAACATATTTAATAAAAATCAAGAATAATCTTAAACCTCATTAATTTTATTTTAAAATTTAATAAATTTTCACCTCTATTCTCTTGATAAAGATAAAAAGAACTATTTTTAATAATTTTTTTAACATTTAATAAGGGTAGAAAAGTAAAAATAAACACAAGAAATAGCGGAGTGCTGATCAAAATTAATGTTCTCCTTTACTTTATGAATAAGACCAGACCAGTATATTATGCAATAAAGAAAAACACCAAAAATACTAAATTCCCTCTTGGGCACTTCGTATTCTGTGGAGATGCCGGAGAGAAGATTTGCAGCTGTGGAGGTGGTGGCTCCGGTTATGGCACACTGAACAATCTGTTCATGAGAAGAGTCATCTAATGTAAGAGCAAGAGCTGCCCCGGTGATTGCTCCCGCAACTGCACTGTTTTTCTGCATCAAACACAAATACACAATTCATGATTACACTATCAACATTTAAGTGAATACCAGAAACAAAACAGTCTGCAGCTAAGCTAAGGAAAACCTTCATGCCCGAAGCAATGAGACAGATTTAATTCTTGTCATTGTTCATTTTAAGTGTGGTCCATAAAAGGGACTGTTAGCTTCATCCATATAAAATCTTGAACTTTTGGCATAACGGTAAACCTCTTGATCCAAACAAAGG